CGGAAACACAATTGGCTCAGCCGAGACTCGAACCAGCGACCTCCTGGCTGTGAGACGACAATGCTGACCACTGAGCCATTATTTGAGAGGATATTTAGAAAAATGCTGAAAACTTGTTACCATTAACTTCCATACAGTGCAAAAAAATAAGCTTTTCTTTCTTAGAGTGTTTGTCTTGTTTTTTGTCCAAATATCAAAACATTAAAAAAATTCAAGAACCATTTCTAGACAAGTAAAAAATATAGTGTTGTTTTTAGAAATAATGTCAAAATTAAGTTAGTTTTTTTTCCTTAAAAAGAGTAAAATAATCAAGTATTTGCTTTGAAATATGTTTTTGTTTTTTCACAATTTTTGCTTGATTTAAGAATTTTTAGATATTTGGACTGGAAACAAGACAAAAACTTTAAGAAAGAAAAGCATTTTTTGCAGTGTAGTATTTGTTTTTCGTATAAAAGTCAACAGATAACAGTTTTCACCGGAACATTCTTCAAAATATCTTCTTTTATGTTCAACAGAACAAAAAACTCAAACTGAACAAATTATGGTTGAGGAATTGATGACAAAATGTCATTTTTTGGGTGATCTATCTATCTCTTTTATTAATAAAAAAAAAGACAACTTCAAAATGTTTCACAGAAAATCATACAGATATGGAACAACATGGGGATTATTAAAGGATGAACGAGTTAAAGCTTTAAGTGAACTTTGTCTATAGGAAGCCATAGGAAGTGTCTACAGTTACAAACACTAGTTAGGAATCCACGTATATTCATGCAAGAGTTCTAACAATGCTGGTTGTATTGTTTGCAGTAGAAATCACTGCTTCTATTCACTGCCATGGGAACCAAACAAGGAGAAACTGGATTTATTTTAAAAAAAAGAAAAGAAAAGAAAAGAAAAGAAAAAGCTGAGTAACAACAATCACAAATAGTCCATTGTTTTAACTAGTTCAGCAAGTAGTTCCTGATTTAAAGGTATTAATACATAAAGATGAAACTGAGGGAAAGAAGACAGATAGTATTTTCAGATGTAACTCAATTCTACACGGTTAAAATATGTTTAACTCAATGTATTACAGTACAAAAATAGTGGACAACATGTATCATCCTTCAAAATGAAATTAAACATATAAAAAAGGTGGGTGACTACACGGTGGCTCAGTGGTTAGCACTGTCGCCTTACAGCAAGAAGGTCCCTTGTTCAAGTCCATGTTGTCTAACGTGTCTAGATCGCTCGTTTTGGCTATGCTGGAAACTGGTTGTAGTTTGTGTCCTTCTCGACGCAGAATGTGTTCCGCCATAAACAATATTGACTTTTCGATGTCTTGATGATGTCGATATTCTATCAGTAAGGAAAATTAATGAAGGATATTTGGTTAATATTATAGCTAATGAGAGGAGGTCGCTACAGCACGTCTATCCCCACCGCCTGCATTACTTGACTCCTTATTGGTGATTCTTAATATTAAATTTAATAGTAAGCTTGGCAAGCTGTGTTGGAGAATTTGATTCAAACAGAATGCCTGAGCATACTGACCGAGAGGCGTTTCAAAGATGGCCACAGAGTGAAATCACTTGCCTTAAGGGACTTTGTTTAAAATGAACTGAGTCAACACAATTCTTTAGGGGGGACAACTTAATTGTTTTATGTTCAGTCAACTTAAATTTGTAAAAACGGTTAAATTGATTTGTGTTGGGACAACATGAAGGAATTGTGTGGAACCCAGCATTTTTTACCATGTAGGGATAGCTTACTTAAAAATAAAAAAAACTCACCTGACAGGAAGTAAGCGGTAAACAGCAGGAACTGTGTTTGTGTCCAGCTTATACCAGGTCTGTAAGAGAGTAAGCTCTTGATCATAATCCATCCAGCTCGGAGCCAGTGGAGTCTCTTCTCTATCTGACACTGAACTGCTGGACACCGAGTTCTCACTCAGGACGGCTGAACTCTCCGAAAGCTCCTTCTCCTCTGATAAATTGGTTTCCCTTTCCAGCACAAAACTCCTGTTGTGGTCAGCGGGAATAATACAGGACTGCGACTCCACCGCCATGTCTGACTGTCTCCTGTAGAGTTTCTTCTTGTTTTTCTCCATTAGTTTTAGAACTGCTTCAAAATCTGCTTGGGGAATAGTATTTGGCAGCGAGAGTATTTCATGCTTCTGTCCAGTGAACACCTTGCAAGAAAAGGAAGACTTTAAATATTGAAATTATATACTCAAGTCACCACTCCAATAAACCACATGGAATTAATCCTACAAAAAAGTTTGGTCCCTCAGTGTCCTGACATCGTCTGAGTGTCTCTATGTGCATCTCTGCCAGATCATGACGGTCTGAATCAGGATCTCCGACTCCAGCCCGCAAGTCAATCATCTTGAAATCATATCCTCTCTGCTTACAGTGGAGATACAGTCGCGGATACACACTCTCCATCAGTGCACAGCGCTCGGGAATTGTATCTGTACACACAATTGTAGAGCAAAATTTTATTTTTGTATAAATTATTATTTGAGTTTGAATATATTTATTATAAATTCAAATCATATATGTGTGTGTGTGTGTGTATATATTTTTCTTCTGGAGAAAGTCTTACTTTTTACTTACTTGGCTGTTATAAAAGCCGGTTTAAAAAAATAAAATAAATAAAATAAAATAAAATAAAAAAATTTGTTCAATTGTCTACAGAACAAACTACTGTTGTCCAATGTCTTGGCTAATTAGCATAAATTGCCTAATTAACCTAGTTAAGTATTTAAATTGCACTTTAAGCTGATTACTCTAGCAAAACATCTAGGAAATTATTTGTACAATATTTTAATAATAAATTTTATAATATATTACAAAACTATTTAGTTATACAAAACTAGTAAAACTATTGTTTAAAAATGTGTTGAAAAAACTTCTCTCTGTTATACAGCACTTGAAAAATATTTTAAAATTAAACTAAAATTTTACAGAGGAGCTAATAATTTTGCCTTCAACTGTATTTCGGAAATATGTGACATTCATAAATTGTTTTTCATGAATTCATATTGCATAAAGTAACCATCAATTTTATTTTTATATTATCAATCTGAATCTATGTAATATAAATATGCTTTAAAAACGTTTTACTCTGGTTTAACTTTAAAGGGACAGAGCAGTCACCCCAAAACAGGAAGTAGGAAATTCTAGGTTGTTCACTAATTTTAACCTCCATTATATGTATAATCAGATCATGTGACACTAAAAACTGCTTCAAATTAGGGCTGCACAATATTGGAAAAGTCTGACAATGTGATATATTGTCTCGCATGGTTCAGGATTGGTAGAGCTACGCATCGATGAATTGGCTCTTCAGTGTTTGAACTCTCAGTAATGATTAAATCACACTGAACTGAGCTAAACTGAACTGAACTGAACTTAAACACTAAAACCTGAACCACACTATTCCAGTTACTATGACCATTTATGTGAAGCTTCTTTGACACAATCTACATTGTATAAGCGCTATACAAATAAAGCTGAATTGAATTGAATTGAATTGAATTGAATTGAATTGAATATACTGTGTTGCTGTGATATATATTGTGATATGAATACAATTTCAGCAGATGGCTTGAACAGCTCTCTTTGTGGAGAAAAAAAAGTATTTAGATTGGTTGGGTTGATTTTGTTAGGGTGTGAATTATGTATAACAAATTTAATTGATAAGAATAATTACAATAGAGCAAAGAAAAAAGTAAAATAAACAGTTCTTTATCGTTTTCCGGAGAGTCAAACAGTATTCAGATAAAGAAATGTAATAATGTAATGTAAAATAACACTATAGTCTTTATTGTATCAATAAATCAGTAAAATTTCTCTTCATCAAAGTTACAAATGTTTATTGGTATTGTGCTCAAATACTTTACACATGCTTAAAATGTCTTTAAAACACATGCAAATGATAAAGTTTCACTCTGTTATGGTTATACTGTCACAATCCCCAGCGATCTAATCCTGGCAGATCGCTAAAAAACGACAAATCCATCATTACATGGACTACAGATCCAGTCATGCACCACACACTCACACCTGTTCCGTTTAGGGTAAAGCTGCGGTCACACTAGACATTTCTCCCCATAGACTCTCGTTCATATGCAAGCGAAAGCTTCAGACCGGAAACAAAAGCTCGAGCAACAAGTTTTGCAGTTTGCTGCTATGTAAAGTTCAAAGCTTGGTGAACTCTGACCTGCGCAATAGCATCACTTGACTGCGTGATACCAATCGAGGATCAAAATGTGACCTCTCTGGACAGAAATTTAAAACATGGTTCAATCGCTCGCTTTTTTATATGTCTAATCATTTTGTTTAATCCCGCCCCTTTTCTCAGCGCCGTACTACAGAATTTTGCATGCTCGAGTGTTACCAAAGCTTTAGGGTGCTGATTACTAACACACACAGCTAAAGATGGTCAGAACTGATGACATGGACTTTAAAAGCAGCACAGATATACACACTAGTCTTGTTTAACTGTGTGACATTATGATAAATTTTCGTTGCCTTGCCGTGTTAGACCATTACTTTGTTGTTTTGTTTATTTACGTTGTCTGCTGCCTGCCTTTTGACCATTTGCCTGTTTATTGACCACGACTCTGGATTGCCCACATTTGTTTGTTCCTGTGTTGACCATTGCTTGCCTGACCATTCTTATAAATAATCCTGCATTTGGATCCGCACTCCGTTGTCCAGCGTCCCGATACACAGTACATATACTTTGCAATGACTCCACAAATCCCATGTATTCTCAATTGTTGATCGACTATAATCCCAATTTAACATTGCATATCCTGCAATGTGTCGATTGCAGACTCACACATTGTGATATCGATGTTGAAACGATATATCGTGCTGCCCTACTTCAAATGAAAAAAACACATTACCTTTGTATCCACCACAAAGGTAGATCATAAATCTCCTCTGTTTATAATTCACGTCGTCATCATTTTGAGTGTCTAGGAAGGAATGATGTTGCTGTTTTGTGTCTCTTTCATGCGATCTCTGTTTGTTTTTAGCATCAGCATCTCTGAACGGGCCCTCAGACAGAGAGCCCTGGCCCTCAGGAGCCTCATCCGTACATGAAGATGCATTTTGAAGGAGCACTAGTTCTGCTTTCTTTTCTTCTTCCTCCTCTTCCTCCTCTTTCTTCTCTAGAGGCACAATGCTCTGCAGGAGGTGAGGAGTGTTCGATGAAACCTGCTCCTTTAAAACCACACAAAGAGAGCATCTAAAGTACGTAAGATCACATCATGGCTGCACAAAACTCTGCTTTAAAGATATTCCAATCTACTAACCTTGAATAAAGCTGTTTTTGTTTTCTGAATCACTACAGCTTTGTCCTCAAGTGATGAATTCGGAGTAAACGAGTGGCGCTGATGCAAACGATACTGGACAGAGAACAGGTCACATATTAATGATCAGATTTAATAATCGATTGAAATTATTGTGTGAATTATTTACTCTTGGAATTTCTTATACTCAGGTGAACGTTAATTAGAGATTTGGGTAGGACTTTACAATAAGGCTTTATTAGTTAATGTATTTACTAACATAAACAAACAATGCACTACATTTATTACAGTATGTACTCATGAGAGTGAATGAAAATACAGTTGTTCATTGTTAGTTCATATTAACTCATGGTGCATTAACTAATGTTAACAATTGTGAATTTGGATGTTAAAAATGCATAAAGGTTTAGCTATCATTATTAAGTGCTGTACAAGTATTTAGTTCATGTTAGTAAATACTGTACATTAACCAGCATTGAATGAAACCTTTATGTAACGTGTGACCGAAATTTTATATGCATTTTTCTTAATAATATTTATTTTTTTATTGTTTTTGTTGCTGGTGTTCTGTCCTATTATTTTGAATGTTCAAATACTAATAAATTATTTTCCTTTAGTTAAATTCAGGTATTTTCTATCATTTTATAATTTTCTATTATATTAATTTCAATAATACTTTATTTTGTTTATCTTTATTTGTAAAGTGTGTACACACAAACACAAACAAACATGTAAATGTACGTTTTTCCATATTGTTCCTAATATTTATGCATTGTTATTATTGTTATTATTGTTATTATGCATTGCAACTCGAACTTTCCACACTTACTTTAAGGTGAGCTGTGATTTCCAGCTCCGTTTCCACACTCACTCTGGACAAAGGAACGACCTGGTGGCCAAAAGTGGATTTCTATCCCATAAATAAAGAGAACCGCACAACATATTACTACAGCTTGCAAATATGTTTATAATGAAAACTGCGCTGAAATGAAAACTGAAATGTCACTGATGAGAAGATGACGATGTTTACTGTATGACGAACGAAATGGCCTTAAACACCCAGCAGGCACAGGATGCCAACATTAACATGACGTCAGATTGACGTTGTACCCCAATGTCGTGGGGATGTTGCATTTTGTTTGGAAATGAAAATCGTCAGAACTCACCATCAGGCTGATGTCAATGTCCAAGTTGCAACCTAAAATCAACTATACATCAACGTATAATCATGTTACAGCTTGACGTTGTGTGGACGTTACCACTTTGACGTCTATCAGATGTTGGATTTTGGTTGCCATAACTGACAAATAAATGTCAGTATTTAACGTCAATATGATGTTGTTTTAAGATGTTGGCTCGACGTTGGATTTTGGTCACTTTCTAACACATCCTAAAATCAACCAACTATCAACGTCAATATTAGACATCAAAATAACGTTGTCCTTAGACGCTGGCTAGACATTGAATTTTGGTCACCTGACATCACAAACTAAATCTAATCTAATATTTACGCCCTATTATGTTGTGTGCCTGCTGGACAATAACTAAAGGCAAAACAAAAAGTTTTGTTTACTCACATCCACAAATTACATGTAAATGCATCAGCTTTTTACAGCGAAATACTCACTACTCTCGAGTACTTTTGAAAGATCTACTTTATACTCAAAGTATGAGTAATATTTACAACAGATACTTTTACTCTACTTGCTCTAGATTTTTAGGCAAGTAATAGCTCTTTTACTTATGTATGATTTGTCAGTACTCTTTCCACCACATTAACTAAATAATTAACATTACTTAATAAATGCTTTCGTCGTTGTCACTACATTGACTTTATTTTTATGTTAACAAATAAAAGGCCTATAAATAATCACAGAATTTTTAATGTCGTAGGCCAGATTAACATTTGGAAAAACAAATTAATTACGTATTAAGTCTGCATGCAATTGGTGCTGACATGAACAAACCACTGATATAACAATCTAAATTTCTTAAAAGACAGACAAATGTTTTAAATAAGAAATAAGTATTCACAGTATTGTGAAGGGCCCTTAATACACTATATTAATGTAATGGAAATTCATTTTTAGATGAACGTGTAGTGGAAACTTACAGCAGAAACAGCGGAGCACCTGACGCACGTACAGAATGGGCCTTATTAGGATTTGACCTTGCAAGCAGTATAAACTAGA